GGAGGCCGAGGCAGGTGGATCACGAGGTCAGGAGATTGAGACCATCCTGGCTAACACGGTGAAACCCCGTCTCTACTAAAAAATACAAAAAATTAGCCGGGCATGGTAGCGGGCGCCTGTAGTCCCAGCTACTCGGGGGGCTGAGGCAGGAGAATGGTGTGAACCCGGGAGGCGGAGCTTGCAATGAGCCGAGATCGCGCCACTGCACTCCAGCCTGGGCGACACAGCGAGACTCGGTCTCAAAAAAAAAAAAAAAAAAAGAACAAACTTGGCTAGTGCCCTCTAGAAGGTGATAATTTAAAAGGGGAGATAGGAAAGGAAGTCAGCTCATATAGGGTGGGAATTGCATGAGAGATAAATGACCGACTTAAGAATGCCTTCCTTTCCCGGGGGACTCAGAGGAGGCTTCCAAAGAGAAATGTTTGAGCTGGGTCTTGGGTGTATGAAGAGTGAGGCAGGAGGACAGCAAAGAGGCCAATCTAGGAAGAGGCGAGATGTTCAAAGGGTGTTATGTTCAGCCGAGCGGGAATAATTCACTCGGCTGACACATTTCCCCTGAGCTGGGTACTTTTCCTGGTGCCTGGGTGTAGATGGAAGATTACTCCTTAATCCCTGGAAAGACTTCAGGTGAGTTAAAGGAGACTTGGCCAGCAACAAGTACTTGAGGATCCTTGCTCACCTTTGCCTCTGATCCATTCTGAACTGCCAGGTGCCTTGCTGGTTCCTTCTGTGCTCATTTCCCTACCACACAACTGTCTGTGGAGTGAGATCTGGGCTTTGTGGCTGCCCATTTTGTGAAGTATTTGGGGGACCTGGAATTTCATGTCTGTATTGGGTAAAAAACCATAGACTGGCAGCAATTAAAACAGAAGCTGTACAGAAACTGTGGTTAGTATCCCTGGATTAACTTGGGTAGTTTCATTATCATTTCTAACCATCTTGTCAGTTGGATTAATTCTACAGAGCCAGAATCCTATTCAAGCTGCCTGCAATTACAGTGTACCTTATCATGGGGATTTCCAGGGGCCCATCTATATAACATGAATGGTCACACTCCAATGTCCAGGTAACCCGGAGTCCCCCTGGGCCGGCAGAGCCCCTGTCTAAGAGCTTTTGGGCCAGGAACGATGATGGTGCAGGGAGTATGAGGGAGGGTTGAGTGTTGCTTTCCAGCCCTAACTTGGTCATTTTAACTGGGGTTTCACTCAACAAGACAGAATTGCTTAATGGTAGCAACAGACAGGGTTCAGAGTCTTGGTGAAGGTGGTGGAGGTGGGAGGCTGGGGAGCCGGTTGAGAGTGGGAAGGCTCCTCTAAGCAAGAAATGAACTTAAATCATGGGGAGATTTATTTAACAAAGAAGTCAGCCGCTTAAGGTCTTCTAGAGATTTCTGTTTCCTTTTTGTTTCAGAGAAAGAATATTCCAATGCCAGGCAGCCAATTCTTGTTGAATTGTGGTTAAATTAAATGTACAAGGAAGTTTGGTTTTCTGCATTCTTTGTTTTTCCAGCCCAATAATTGTTAGATGCTGGAAATGGCTAGTGGTTGGTTTCCTCTGAACCAAGTCCAGGTTCTGTGGAGAGGAGGGTAAGAATGGTCTCACGCACCTGCACCCCCGCCTCCCTTTTACGTAGGGGCTGTGGTTACCAGCCCAAAAAATGAGTGTTGGGATGGCGACCGGACATCAGGGGAGGTCCTAAATCCTGCTCAGCTTCAGTTTCTCCTCGCCCCATCATCTTTCCGCATTCACTTCCCACCCCCGCCTCCCTTGGGGCCTTCAGAACCCGGCTTGGCCTCTGCGCCGCTGGAGCGAGAGCCCCCACTAGCAGGGTGATAAAAGCCCCTGTGGGCCACCGCGGCGCGTGAGCGCCTGGGAAAAGCCGGGGCGGTGCTGGCCTACGGGGTTGAGAAACGGAGGCGCGAGTGTCAGGACCGCGGAGCCGATGCTCCCGGCTGGCACAGAAAGTCCTCCTGGCCATCCAACTCGCTGATCCTCAGAGCAAGGGTTTCCCAAAGAACTCCGTGCCATTTCCAGGAAGACGAAGGAAGAGTGAAGATTGTAGCGCCAGCACGCCCAGTCTCTAAACGCAGAGCAGGGGTGCCGGGGGTGGGGTGGGGCGCTGAGGACAGAGACATCGGGGCGCAGAAGACAGTCGCTTGGGGACTTGGCCAGCGGCTTTCGGGCACGGGCTATGCAGTGGTTTGGTCTCTCCAAACCTAGATAAACCGTCCTTTCTGTCCCGGGGTGGGGGACGGGGACCGATCCTAGATCGTTCAGCGTCTATCTCCCCGGCTGGGGGAGGAAAAGAACAGGAGAGAAGCCTCCCTTTCTCCGCTCTGCGCCCGCCGCCTGCCTCTGGCAGGCTCGGATCTCCGGGTGCGCTCCCCCAGGAGCCCCAGCTAGCACCTCACGGCCTCGCTCCTCTCGCGCCGGGTCTCTTTTGCAGGGCGCTGGGAGAGAAGTTGTCATCCGTCGCAGCTACCACCTGAAATCTCGGGCTAAAGGGCACACGCCACACACACGGGCATGAGGCTGTGAGGACACGTCGGTTCCAGCACACTCTACCCACAGCCCCCTTACTCAGGCAGGGGTACCCGCTGTCGTTCGTTCCTACTACAATCACCCCAAAAAGCACAAGAGCGGAGAATCACGTCCCGGGACCTACACTCAGGCACTCGGATGGGCACACCACCATCAGCGCAGATGCACACAGGTGCCCAAGTGCGCTTCTCGCTCCCTCCATCTCTTTCTCACGCGCGCGCACACACACACACACACACACACACACACACCACTCCTCACCTTTGCTCTTCCGCTGCAATCCTCTAACTCCGGTCTCCCACACCCAGCGGTTGTCCCCGAGCCAGCTGGGCGCCGCGGCGCGCAGCAGCTTGGCTAGCGCCCGGCGCCGAACGTTTGGTGTTTCTGGCTCCTCGACCCTCTTGTGCCGGCTCCCACTAGCCCCTCGCCCGTAGAGAGCTCGCCTCGCCCGCAGACCCCCCGGTGCCAAGCCTCAGACTGGGGCTCGGGGCGCGGGTGGTCTTGCGAGCGCGCGCGCATGGGTGGCTGCGCCGCTTGGACTGGCCCAGCCAGCCCGGGCCCCTCGGCACATTTCCCCACGCCCCCCTCCCGCTACGTCACAGCGGCTTCGCTCCGCCCTCCCCCAACCCCTCCTCCCGGGTCCTGTAGAAGGACAAGGATGAGACCGACTGAAACGCCTGCAGGTGGCTGCGGGCAGAGCTTACAGACAGCCGGGGAGCGGGAAGAGAGAGGACCCGCATGCAGGGGCGTGAAAGGTTAAGCGTTTTCGTTCTCTTCAAGACTCATGGCAAGGACAAGCAATATTTTCCCTCTGATTTCACAGAATCGATTCCCTTCCACCCAGCATATTCTAGGCAGCTGGAGTGGCGGCCGCGGTGACCCAGATTTACACCGGGACCTCTGTGATTTTCTTAGCCAAACAAGTTAGCAAAACTGTGTTTACCGTGGGCCAGCCCCGGGTGCAGGGCGCAGGGCGCAGGGCGCAGGGCGCAGGGCCAGGCTGAGGATAGGGAGAAAAAGCGCTCAGGGGACAGCGCTTCTCCATGCAGTTCCCAATGAGCGCAGGGCATGTAAACCCACACCTGGAGTCCAAGATTCAGTCCTAGGAGCCATCAGAGGGTCAGTGGAGGTCGACTGGTCCCAGCTGTCCCTGCGTCCCACAGCTTGGAGGTGCAGCGGCCATACAGGTGGTCCCCTTGCTGTAGCCACGTCAGTCAGCACCTGCTGGTCTGACCCAGCACAGTCCCTCCTACATGCTGTGAGGGAGCAAAGGGGAACAGGCAAGAAGTGGGAGTTACATCACATGGAGTGGCAGCTATTTCTTTTTGACTGTGATGATTCAGCCTCTTTTCCAATAGTTTAATAAGTCATAATCAATCCTGCAGCCTCCCCTTCCTCACCCTCCTCCAAGTACATACGTACACACACGCACACACACACCATCCTCAGTACAGTTTTAGAGGATATGAAAACAGAAAGCAAACCCCAACTAGCTTTCTGTGTGAGCTGAACTGCCTTGATTTGTCCATCCTATTATTTGATTTAGAATTCACCAGGGAAAAGTAAAAGTCCAGAAGCTGTGTGGCAGGTGCGGTGAGCCCTAGAGATAGATGAGTGACATGGGAAAGGAACCACCAGGTACGGTAGCAGCCAGCTGCTCTCTTCTATCTGGACCAAACCATATCTTGGGGTACCCACTGTAAGATGGGGATCCTCTCTGAGAGGCCAGGGAGCGGGAAGAGAGGGGACCCGCATGCGGGAGTGTGAAAGGTTAAGCATTTTCGCTTCATGATAGGGCTTAACTTTTGGCATCCTGGAGCTCAGGCAAGATGGAAATTGAGCTGCAATTGCCTTAAGTTCCAGGAGTCAGTCCGGGATCCAGCATCTCTTTTAGACATGTGCATGCAATTGGAAGGGCTGGGGTGAGTAGCTCACAAGAAGAGGACTGTGTCTGCTCGCCATTAGTGAGAAGAGGGAGAGGCAGAGAGGTAATAATAATATCAGGAGGGCATCGTGGAATTGCACTCAGAGGAACTCGCCATCCTCTGGTCACACAGTTGCTGCAATGCCTGTTGCCACCTCCAGTTTAAAACCAGTAACCTGACTGGTTTCCAGGAAAAGAAGGAAGAGCCAGGAAGTGTCCACTCTGCCCTCAAATTCCTTCCCTTTGTACCATGTTATCTTTTAAAAGTTCTCAAACGGTTAATACCAAATTTATGTTTCATTAAAAAAATAATAACTGGAGGCAGCAGAGTCCGAGATGATGCTGCTGTTCTACCCTGGCTGCAGGGACGGGCTGATCGTGGAGGAGGGACAGCGCTGCCACCGCTTCGCCTGCAACACGTGGCCCTGTGTGCACAACATCACCCACAAGGTAACAAATTGGAAGTACTCAAAGCTGAAAGAAGTGGATGATGGACCTGGGAGAGCAGCTGCCTGGGAGGATGTTGACTCTACTACAGAGTCATGTCCTAAATGAGAACCTCCTTGTGCTTCCTGCATGTAGCTTCAGACCCGCTCTGCAGATGAGCCAAAGACCACCTTCTACCAGTGCTGCAGGGCTCAGTGTGGACACCACTGCAGGGATTAAGGCAAGGACGGCCCAGCTGCCTGAGCGTCTGCTTACCTCAGGGTAGATGGTCAGCTGGGGGTATGAATCGTGTGTCCTGAGGGTCTTTGCTGGTGTGGTGGAAAGCTAACCCTTTTGAGGTGAAGAGTCAGGGTGTCAGGAAATGTGGCCTATCTGCCAGTCACAGCAGATGAAATCATTGATGTCCAGCGAGTGTTTCTGTGTAGGGAGGACACCCATAACTAAGTATGCTCTGTTTGAAGTTCCTTCCCTCCCTCCCTCCCTCCCTTCTCCTTCCTTCCTTCCTTCCTTCCTTCCTTCCTTTCTTCTTTCTTTCTTTCTTTCTTTTTTTCTTTCTTTCTCTTTCTTTCCCCTTCCTTCCTTCCTTCCTTCCTTCTTTCCTTCCTTCCTTCTTTCTTTTTCTTTCTTTTTTTTTTTTTTGATGGAGTCTTGCTCTGCCACCCAGGCTGGAGTGCAGTGGCACGATCTCGGCTCACTGCAAGCTCTGCCTCCCGGGTTCACGCCATTCTCCTGCCTCAGCCTCCTGAGTAGCTGGGACTACAGGC